TAGCGTAACTGGCAACGCATCTGCACGGTAAGCAGGAGTTGTGGGTTCGAGTCCCGCTCCGGGCCGATTTTTTCTCCCAGCGGTTCTAAATTATTTAAATTAATTTATTTATTTATAATTATTAATGTTAATAAGAGATGGCGCCTAACGCTTACCTCTAAAGCCAAATTGGTTACGTAATTCATTTAATAATTAGCCTTATACTAGCCCAATAGATTTTCGGCATTCGGTTGGTGTGTAGCTATATTATATATCGGGTTTAGCGATGTTTGTATATTTTGTTTAACCTCTCAAGACTTAATAGCTCCTGTGCTTTTGAAAATTTCTGAAATTTTGCAGGAAGGTTTATGTATTAGAAAGATTCATGCTATTAAATTTTGGTGGTTTTAAGGCTGATGTGATGGGGAGATAAAGGCTGCCCATGTGTCATATCTTGAGTAGGATTGAACTTAATGACAATTTTACTCATTATTAGCATTTAAAATATTTTATAAAACCATTCCTACTCTCAAAAGTAAGCTTTTTGCCATTTTATAATAATTAAAAATGTAAATAGTTTTTTAAATGAAATATCATAACAGATAACACCACCAGAATTTTAAATGCTGTTGAGAAAGTAAAGCAATTCATTGCTGGATTTTTTACTTTTAAATGGACCCTCATTGCATTTCTGTATTCCTTGTCTCAATTAAAGGAAAATGGCAAAGTTTTATCAAAATTGATCCATTACATTTTCAGAACAAACTCAATTCTATAAGCTAATACAAGATATGCTAGTGACCATTTATACGACAGTCATGCGATTTGTGTAATATCACTTTGTTGTACGGACTCATGAAACCACCTTATATTTCAAATGAAGTCATGGACCCCCTTTTTAAATTGCATTTTTGTATTTTGCATTGAAATTAATGGAAAATGGCAACGTTTAATCAAAATCTATCAAATGGATTTTGAGAATGAACACAATACCATAAGCCTCGAAAAAACTTCACTAATGCTCTGCTTCAAATATTGCTAATTTTAACTTTATATTGAAAAAACAAGTTTTTATTTGAATTGCATATAAAACTTAAGAGATTTTTTTTCCCTCAAAATTAAACAGAATAGTCTCCAGTTTCTAGAACAAAAAAAAACGTTTTTTTCAAATCAGTGAAATGTCATGATTTATATTTTTTTATTATGATGTAGAAAATGATTAATAATAATCCTTCAAACTGTTGTTTTGTCTAGAATTTGTTACCTAAGAATCGATACTAGACTGACCTTTTTTGCACATTTCCAGCAGTTCTGATATATATGTGAAGCAAACATTTTTGGCCTCTTTCAGGGGCCAGACTCAGGCTTTTTATCAAAAACCTTTTTTTAGCCAATCTTTTCAATTTGGAACAGTTTTTGACAGAAAAATGTTCTGGAACAAGTTATACTTAAATTAACTAACCATTAATTTCATTTAACCAATGTCATTAATGTCCAAACACTTAACAAATTTCACACCTCACAATAAATTATCACAGAAAATTATAAACTATGGCTGGTACATAATAAATCTAAAATATTGTCAAATGTATAACTGTGAATGTGTGTTCCTAAACATATCTTTTTGTATAGGATTGTCTACAAGCACTTTCCATGCATTGGAAATCACTTCAGCATCCTTGTGGTTTATGCATCTTCCCTATTGCAAGGTTTTATAAATTTCCCATGCCTCCAGTTTTGACATTAATGATGCTGGTTAATAATGTAATTGAAAAATGGACAGCTAGTTAATTTAAATAAAACTTGTTTTAGAAAATTTTTCTTTCAAAAACTGTTTAAAATTGAAAAGTTTGGCCAAAAAATATCTTCGATAGAAAGCTTGATGCTGGCCCCTGAAAGAGGCAAAAATCATTTCCAGCAATTCTGATGTATATGTGAAGTAAACATGCAAAAAGACCAGTCTAGTATCAATTTATATAGAAGTTCCAGCTGGAAAGAAGTTTTTATACCTAAGAATCCAAATCTGTATTTCTTAAAGATCTCAAACACAATCTCATTTCTCTCACCTTATTGTTAACACAGGAGTCCATAAAGCTTATCATGTTTGGTAATGCATTCTCATCTTGGTCCAAATTGAATCAAGTCTGTGGGACTGCTGTATCCAATGTGGTGAATAAGTGTCAAATTAGCCCAGGTGTTCCATTTTTAATTGAACACTCCTGTATTTCTATCAATAAAAGTAATAGATACAAGAAACTGAAAAAACATAACACTTTAATTTGCTGAGAAAATTTAATGAAAAAGCAAACATTTTCAGCCAAATCTGTTGGCCATCATCAGGCTAAGAATATTCTAATATAAATAAAATAGAACAAAAATTTAAATACAAATAAAAATAATGAATGACATATATATATATATATACACGTATAAAGAAAAAATAAAATAAAAATTATTCTTATAAATAACAAAATATGTATATAAATATATACATAAGATAATTAAATATTAAAACGTTATATAATAATACATTATATGAAATTTAATAAAATGCAAGAATATGCAAAAATACTAAAATGAAGGCATTAAATTAAGTCTCTCTAATCGTTTAAGTATTTCCAGGCCGAAGGCAATTCTTCCGAATCTCTAGAATTAATGCATGCATCCTGTAACCTGCTCTTATATATTTCAATTTTTTCGGTGTAAATCGCCAATGTCGATGAATGTACTGGTTTAATAATACTTGCTTTGTCCCATTTGACGACTTAGCCCTCAACTTGTGCCAATTGCAATAGTATTGTGGCATTAAATACAATATCAGCAAGGGATCTATTGCCACAATACTATTGCAATTGGCACAAGTTGAGGGCTCAGTTGTCAAATGGGACGAAGCAAGTATTATTAAACCAGTACATTCACCGACATTGGCGATTTGCGCCAAAAAAATTGAAATATATATGAGCAGGTTACAGGATGCATGCATTAATTCTAGAGATTTGGAAGGGTTGCCTTCGGCCTGTAAATACTTAAACAAACGATTAGAGAGCTCTTAATTTAATGCCTTGATTTTAGTATTTTTGCATATTCTTGCATTTTATTGAATTTCATATAATGTATTATTATATAATGTTTTAATATTTAATTATCTTATGCATATATTTATATACATATTTTGTTATTTATAAGAATAATTTTTATTTTATTTTATTTTTTTTTTTGTTTAACATACTGCTGAGTGAGTGTACCTCAATTGTAATAGATACAGTTTTAAGTAAAACTGGCAAAATAGTATAAACATACGAGGCATGTCTGGAAAGTAAGTACCATTTTGGAAAAACTTGCATAAAAAAAATATTTTTTCAAAACAAAATTTATTTTTACATGAAAGATTATGTTGGAAACTATTTTTCTACATAGTTACCACCATTATTCAGACATTTGTCATATTGGGAAACCAACTTGTCTATACCCTCTTCAAAGAAAGATGCCACCAGTGAAGACAGCCACTGCTGAACATAGATTTGTGACAATCTCATGCAAAACAGTTTTTGAAATTTGTGGAAACTCGTCACAAAGCAATCTTATTGTAAACTGTCTGTTTTCAAGAATTTTCTCATTCACTTTTGCAACCAAACCATCATTGACAGCAGAAGGCCGGCCACTCCGTGCTTCGTCATGAACATTGGTGCGTCCAGCATTAAATTGTCAAACCCACTTTCTCACTATTCCATCACTCATTACATTTTCACCATAAATCTCTACAAGTTGATGATGAATTTCAACTGGCTTAACATTCTTTGCGTTCAAAAACCGTATTACAGAACGCACTGCACAGTCGGCGGGATCGGCAATCATCTTAAACATTTTGAACGCTCACTAACACATGGAAAAACAACACAGTCTGGCTCTAACGGCGTCACTGGACTGACAATCAACCAGAGACACGTATATGCAGGTGCTGAACTGTGATACTACCACTGTGGTGGCGGTAAAACGAAACGGTACTTATTTTCCGGACACGCCTCGTACTTGTTACTGCTTTCACACACAATTTTATCCTGAGTGTTCAAGCAGTTTTCCTGGATTACTTTATATAACTTCTGCAAATTTTTTTCTTATTGGTAATTAAATTTGATTCACATTACATACCTTTTATTTTAAAGGTTAGTATTATAAAAAATTTGATCAAATTTTGGAAAGTTATGATGGAAACTTGTCTTTTACTATTGTATTCAAAATTTATAATTACAATTTCTAATATATTTAAAGAATAATTCTAAAATAATTTTTTCTTTTATAGGGAAAATTGACCCAACCTCAAATGCTTACTGTTTCGGATATTGAAGATATGTTTGTTCCTCTTATAGATGGATTTTTTGTTTCCCTAGAAGAAGCAGAATCAGTAATAGATAGGTATTATTTTTTTGTACATAATGTAATAATTAACTAGTGAGGTTAGTTTAATGTTTATGAATCAAGGAATTGATATGTCATTTGTTTTAAAACTTGATCAGTTTATTACATTCAAAAATGAGCTTTTTGGAATAGTTACAATTTATACAATTTTTTAAAATTATAAAATCATCTCAAAATTTTTCTAACTAGTATTGCTAATTCATTTATAGGTGTATATTTTTTAAAAAATAGAACCTAAATCAATTCATGCTTATGTAAGATATAGAATACACAATTATAAAGCAATATGAAGAAAATTGGCTATTTTCAAAACAAAATTTAAATGTAAATTTCCATTAGTGACTGCATCAGCATTAACCATAGTACACAACCATTTGTCATGCAGTGAACATTGATTACTCTAATGTTTCAGTCTTCTTAATTGAACTTCTTCAGAAGATATCTGAATTTTACATTCTAAAAAGAACAATGCTGCCACTTAGCTTATTCTAAAATAGTTTACAATGTTTCATTTTTGGAACAAAACAAATTTTGAAAGCACGCTTGTTGGACTTTTACATATTGAATAAAATATCATGATAAATGATAGAAAATAAAAACCCCAAACTACATGTATACATTTTGTTTTTGTCTTTTTATCATGATATAAACAAAACAGAAAAACTCTACTTTATACTTTACAAACTTTACTCCAGTATTTACAATCTCTATACAAGTCAATTACTAACATGTAATCTTGACACTATCTGTACTGCAGTATCCTCATAATTAGTTCACTCTTAGGTTTTTTTCAAGCAACACTTTCCAGGCTGCTGAAATTGTAGCATTTTCTCTATAAGAAGATACAGTAAGGTCACTAGCATACCACTGGGCTGTCATGGTCCCTTAGATCACTACTGTGATCCAAGAAGACCATGATACCTCTAGTAAGAGGTCTGACTGTCATATATGATAGTATCCAAGACCATCACACCAGCTGTGGGGGGTGGAGTGCCACTCCAAAGTGTAGGCAGGATTGAGGTGTTCACCATGAGGCTTCCAGACACAAACACAGCTTTTGTTGGTGTCCAAACTGAATCTGGATTTGTCACTGTAGATGACCCGGTTCTGTTGTGGTCCAGTCCCGTTGGAATTGACACCACTCCAAACAGAAGCAATGGTGGGTGGTGTCAGTGGCAGCACATGTAATGGCTGCTGCAATATCAAATGTTCTTCACTTAGGCACATCGAAATGATACGGACAGACATGGGGATCTGTACTCCATACTAGTAGTGCCACCTGTGTCCAGATGGCAGACAATGATACAGTTGGCCACGTGCGTGCGTGTTTGTTGGAGGAGCATTGGTCCTCTCGGGCTAGTGGTCTGTCGAGGCCCTCCCAATCCTGGGCATCATGTATGCTGCCAGCTCTCTCTCGTCCACTTGTCCCAACACCTCAGTATTGTCAGAATGGCCTAGATGGCAGGCTATTTGGTGAGACAAGCATCCGGCTTCTCTCAATCCAATTATCCTTTTCCTTTCACTTTGTTAGTTGTTCATATGGTCTTGGATTGTGACATAAAGAAATCTCTAGTGATCTTCTGCAACAGGTAAACTACAGACAGGATACCTTTGTGCACTTTTTTGTAGGCCAAAGGGATGCACTATAATGCCCTCTGCTGGCATTACACAATGAATCATCGTGCCATAATTCTAATCATTTCCATATCTGCTTGAGATTTATCTATATGCTACATTTTGCAGCAATACAACAACTCCTTGGTGTGCTAATTTTAAGGCTTTCTCTAACTATGGGGTCTTGTAAATAAGACTCTTTGCTTGGCCCAAAGGAAAAATTAAAAAAAAATAAAAGTTTAAAAGATAAAAGATTATGATTTTAAAAAGTATGCATATACATATATAATCTTTCAGAAGCATCAAGTTCTGGAAGTGACATCACTGAACTTATTAAATAAACCCTATATTAAAGAGTTAGACCTTTTAAGGTCTTAATAGTGTTTATTTGGGAAATGTTACTGAACATTTTTATCTTAGTTGTTGTTAGGGAATTTGTCCTATAAGTTTGCAACAGGAATTTTAAAACACTGTGTGTGTGTTTGTGACCAAGTTTTGTGGTAATAATAAATGATGTGGTGATTTCTAGTTACATGGAGAATTTGGTCTCTGTGTACGTACAATGCTCCATGTCCTGGTTTTTTAAACTGTTTTGGAGAATTGCATTTTCACTGTAGTTGTCTCTGCACAACCACATAGATATTTTTAGAAATATTATTGTTATTAAATAATAATATTATATATAAATTACATGTTTCTCTGTTTTTTATTATTTTCTGTTTTGAATTTGAAACTTTGTTTTCTCTAATTTTCCTTTGAAAGTAATGGTTACTACAGACAGAATACACACCTTACTTGTTTTTCCAGCAAAATGAGACTTAGTGCATGTGCTCCAGTGCCACAAAAAAAGTTTAAAAAACATTTCATGAACATTCTTAAGACAGAATCTGCAATGAATTTTAAAAATTAAAATGTCAACATTTTAACTAGAAGGATAAACTAAAGAAAATTTCTCAAGAAAGCTGTAAATGTTTGGAAAAATTTATTCCAAACTGCTTGAAAAGCGAGTAAGGTATGTATTCTGTTGTATTATTTGTAATTACCTGTTCTAGTCTGGACCACGTAATCATTAAATAGTTACTAAAAGTATAAGTAAAGTGATACTATGTGTATTTCCCACTAAGTCTATATATAACTGCAAATAAACTTTTGTCTGTGGTTTTCCATCATAATTGTTACAGAATTTAACCTGAGATTTTTTAGAATAGACACTGAAGAAACACAACTCTTTGAATATTAAAAATTTTAATGTAATCTTTCAATTTCATTAATATTTGTTATTCTACAGTAGACAGATCAGCAAACAAACTTTTAACTTCTAATTCTTTTGACTTTGCACATAACCTGAAGATGGTCTTTTAAGGCCAAAAGTATCAATACTAGAAATTAAAAATATTTTTTGTCAGTCTGAAAGGTGGTTTTAACTACTGTAAGATAATAAACTAGTTAATAAATATACAAAGAAAGATTCTTAATTTAATTTATAAATGAACTAGCAGACCCAGCCACATGTTGCTGTGGCTCAAAATGTATCTATTATAAATGTATGACACTTCCCCTGCGGGAGGAATTTCAAAAAATCCCTTCTTAGTGTACATTCACTTCCCCCGCGGAGGGAATTCAAATGCGATTGACATGGATGGATGCTACAAATTTAGCTTTGATTTAGAACTGCGATTCTGAGTGATTCTTCTACTTGGAATATAAGTGCTATATATTTTCTTATTCCAGAAGTTACAAGGATCCCAACAATACCATTTTTGTGAATACAGTGGTACCTCAGGATACGAAAGCCCCAGCATACGAAATTTTCAGGATACGACACGAAATTCGAACATATTTTTGCTCCACGATACGAACAAAAACTCACCATACGACGTTACATTAGTTCGCAGCGCCATTTTTTATTCACTTCTGTTCGTCAGTCTCAGTCCGCGTGTTTGCTTCGTCATGGAAGGATCTCACTTGATAAAGGAAATCTCGAGGTATTATCACAAAGTGACTGATTTTATTGAAAAGGAACATCCCGAAAAGGTTCACACTGGCCGTATTGCTGCTCGGAGTAATGACATTTGCCTAAGTCATTTTAGAAACATTTTAAAAAGTAGGCAAAGCCAAACCTCTTTGGATAGATATTTTACCAAGCGACCTCTATCCAGTGAAAGTGCTGGTGGAAGTGAAGGAAAGAAAGCAAAAAGCAGTGAATAAAAATAAAAAATATATATATATATAAAACAACACTAATTTTTTTTAATCTTTTCTAAGTTATTTTTAAGTTATTGTTACATTATGTTATGTAAGTTAAGTTTTACTATCATTTCTCTTCTCCCTCTCTTCCGTTACCAGTTTACACCTCCACCCTGGTCTATCCTCAAAGATAAAGTGCAAATAAAACTACATTTTTTTTTATCAATTATTATTCTATTATGGTTATTTATACATTTACAACTACAAAATGCATTTTTCAGTGTTTTCCTTACTATAGTTATTATTTTTTTAATGTATTACTTAGCTTTAACTTGAGTGTGTTTTTCGTATTGGAACGAATTATTTGGTTTTACATGTAATCATATGGGGAAAAAATGATTCACCTTACAACATTTTCATGATACGATCTGAGTGTCGGAACGGATTAATTTCGTATCCTGAGGTACCACTGTATTGAGTGATTATTCGGAAAGATATACCCAACAGAACAATTACACCTTTTGGTTGATTAACCGGAAAACTGCAATTTATTCGGACTGCCTGACAGGAGCTAGGTCTCCATCATACTGTAAGTACATCTCTTAAATTTCAGCATACTCTGGCCTCCAGTTACAGAGATATTGCTTATTTCTGGTAAACTTCAAAAGAGGCTACTGGGCTTCCTGTTTGGATTAGAAGAAAATTATTCGGGTATTTGTGAGAGGACATCAAATGTTATATGTCCACAAAATTTGGTGCAGATATCCTCAGCCAAATTTGAATTATGTACATTTGACCAAATTTTCTGTTATATAGATTAGCTATTCCATCTCGTTGCTATAGAAACGGCCACCTTTATCTTTGCATCATAGCAAAGAAGAGCTATATTTATAGTTTAATAATAATATTACCTTAGACATTATATATTTTTGAAATAGTTAGATTATAGGGAATCTTTTGGTAATTTATTGATTAATTATATAGTTATTTTGTCATAATTTTATTTTATTATTAATTGAACATTGTTTGTATCTAAAATGGATAAATAATATAAATAAGATGGACATTATAAGTAATACCACTATGGAAGAGATGAGAGCATCTGCTTTAGAGGTGGTTAGCGAACTTAAACAATATATTAATGAAAATAATGNTATAATTATTTTGTCATAATTTTATTTTATTGTTAATTTAAC